AAGGCTTACTACAAAGACAAAATACACTTCCTATTTTTAAGTCTGGATCTATACTTTGTTGTTCCAACATTGTCAACTCATCTAACCTTAGCCCGACCAACCTATACCTTCTAAGCCGATTTTACAACTATACTTCTAAACTTTTTCAGACCTAATCCCCAGGCCTCACAATAACAAACAAATAAAAAAAATCTATAGATATAAAAATAAACAAAGATAACGAATAAAATATTTATTTGTACAGATCTAAACTTCTAAGCTTTTGCACAACCCAGCCTTACAGTATATACATTCTTATTATTACAAGTCACGATTTTCTTAATAAAATTGTAACAGTAGATATCATAAAATCAATACTCTTACATTCATATTAAGACATTGATATTTTTCTTTCATAACTAATGCTTTTATCAAATTTGTCATCTTTGTAGTATATACAGTATCATATTTGTTATACCGTAAGCGCATATAAAATACCCATGATCGGTGCTCCTTTGATTTGTACTCCTCTGTATTTATACTGAGTATGTTGCAAATTTGTGGGCTACATCAGAAAAAATACTGGGTCAATATAGAATCTGCTTACTACAATAAAATAATAACTAAACTACTATAATTAGAACACTAAAACTACTTTAACCAAACCACAAGATTGGTCAGGCAACGATCGAGGCGTGGAAAGACTTGGTTCAAGTAACCAGGGTTAATTGATTGGTAGTGACAGTGTTCAATTTAGATAAGTATCCTCTTATTCTCTTAACAAGCATCTTGCTTCTTCTTGACACCTCTGCTAATACTATAAAATACTATAAATGCTAATACTATAAAATACTATAAATTCTTCCTTTCATAAGTACTACGATTGGGTCCCGTGATCAAAGTGGTACAAGGTCACGGTATCACAGGATCATGAATCGATATAATGATATTGATCACAAACTTAATCAAGATCGATTTTAATATATAAGAGTTTGTATGACTAATACAATTCTCTCTTTACTAAATACGACAATATGATTTACAAGGGTCACAGAGTCAAGAAAATATGAAATCGACGAACGATTTTTAATACAAGGTCAAAGACAAACACTTCTACTATTATTTCAAAGGTTTTCTTAGAACTTATTCAAATTGAACTTTGAAAATTAATCTTTATTTGAGCGAAAAGGCTTGTCTTTTATATCTTTTACTTACTTAAGATAATAATTTCTTTTCACTTACTATTTTTGGAAAAATTACTAAACAGGTACTAACTAGATTTTGTTTGTTGAGCTTCAAAAAAGAAAATAATTCACAACTAGAAGGGGTAATATATGGATAATAAAATAAAAAAAAATAAAAAAAAAAATAAAATAATAAAAAAAATAGTAATAGTGGAACTGTCACCGTAAAGTCCGTCACAACGTACATTTTGAGATTATTTGTTATGATGTTTTATAAAATCCCTAAATAAAATCAATTGCCGATTTAATAATAACAATTTTGTTCTAATGGACAAATACAGGGAGGTATAAGTCTTGCAAGATACAAAATGGCTGGGTATTTTATAAGGGATATACAGTATGTGTTGATTCTGACTATAGATGCTGGTGAAACTGGTGAAATTTAATATAACAGCCAATCAGATTTTAGATAGTTACCAGTTTCATCAGCATTACTTAGCTTCATCAATATCTATAGTTCTGATATTAAATAAGTAAACCGAATGATCAATTGTAATAAACTTTCACCTAATTAGATCTTTGTGAAAATAAGAAATCGGCTAACAGTAAATTCACCAAAATCTGCAGCATAGTAGTAATGGTTCTGAGTGAACTTATTCATAGAATTTTCGTATATTTACTGTTTATTACAGGACTAGTTTTGTAAAGCATCAATCATTTCCAAACATTGATGACATTTTATTTTACATCTTCAATCTTTTATAGAAACATCTAGATTTCACGCTTCCAGCGCAGTTACTGACCAAGTTGTTAGTACATATGTGAATTACAAAAAATTACCAATTTAGACATTTATATGTCGTAATGTTGGAAGACTTAGTAACAAAACTCAACAAAACTTTAAGGGCTCTTAAAGCGATTCTATATCATCATTTAATAGCTTCGAATTAACATCCAATACGTTAATTGTTGAAACCGCATTAGTTATATTCATCCTCACGATTGCTTTATAATTAAAAACAATATTTCAAATATTTAAAATTCTGATAGAATAGTTAAAACAATACTAATGCATTTTTCTCAACTTGAAACACTAAATTTGGCATTATGCATTAATGTAACAGCTCAAGTGTTTGATCTAGGAGATAAACAATGCAAGTATTAAAAATCTCGACTTGAGCAGCTATCAAAGCATTGACAAAATAATGGTTTCCTTTATATTTATTCTATTGCCAAATATTACACGACTATGTATATAATTATCTTCATCTAATTTCTGAACAATAACTGTGACAAAACTATATGACGAACCCACATACAAAGAAAACTAACTAAGCAGTGTTTTTTTCTTTTTTTCTATTTTTTTTATTTTTTTATTTTTTTCTATTTTTTCTTTTTTTTTTATTTTGTTTTTTTTTTCTCTTTTTTTTTTATGTATTAATTCTTTTCTTTAATTAAACGTTTATTGGCTATACTCTTTAGAAGCCTCCTGCAATGCGATTTTTCAACCTGCTTTTGTAATTCCTACTAATTCAAGTTGTTCATCAGTTAATTTAGATATCTGTTTAACTTGAATAGCTTGATTTTGAAATTTTGATAAACATGCTAAAATTTCTCCATTTGCATTATTAGCCTCATCTATCTTTATCAAAAATTCATCTAGTTGAGGAACAGGTTTAGAACTTGTTTCTTATAATACGGAATTATTTATCGAAGTATATAAAGGTTGTAGATTAGAAAAATTTGAAAATGGCGTAAAATAAGGTTGTGAAGAGATATTAGGTAATGGATATTTGTCATTGCATATAAAGGAATATTTGGTAATATTTGTAAGGGCGTATTAGATAAATATGGAAAAAAATTATTTAATGGTTGTGGTGAAAAATTATTTGATATTTGAGGTGGAAAATTGGTCGATAGTTGCATTAGTTGTAATGGTATTTGTGATGGCATATGTGATGGTATTTGTGATAGCATTTGTGAAAGTGCTTGTGAAGACACTTGAAACGGTACTTGAGAAGATATTTGTCAAGGCATTTGCTGAGATGATTGTGATGATAGTTGTGAATTAGGTATTCCTCTTTTGTTAGGTGGTAATATAAAGATGGCGTGACTTGGTGGCGTGTTAATATCTGTTAGTCCATTTAACTATTTGAAATAATTTTACGATTTTAGTTAATAGTAAATATCACTGAATAAATAGGTATAACAAGTTTTACATACAATTGCTCAAGCCCATGTTGTATAGTGCATGCCTGTTAATTTAACGTGACCAGTTTTAGTAGCCCAACAGGAACCTTCACAATTAGCGCAAAAATATTTTTTCTGAATTTGAAAAATAGTAGATGCTATAATACGTTTGTCTTCATCTAGCTAAGATTCTTTAGGCTTTGCACTAAATAAACGTGGTTTTTTTTTATTTAAGTTATCATCACTATTAGGTTCTTCAGATCTCTAAAATAATAAAATAGCCAATTAATTAATAAAGTATTGTTGTTTTGGCATAGCCGTCTGAAGTTGTAATTTTGTTTAACATTCTTTTCGAAGCTTAAGCACAGTGAGAAAGAACATCTCAAAAATCTATTGAAATCTCAAAGATATAATGGACTAGAACTAGACTTATCTTACAATATAATTTATATTGGCAAGTTACATGTAAATTACTGTAACTTATATATAAATTATGTAAAGATTATGTAAGTTAACAACCCTAACAGGAACAGTAAATACTTCTGTTAAGAATAAAATGGAATTATTTTAGCCAATCAATCATATCTCAAATTATTTAAAAATTAAATTTTGATTGACTAAAAAAAAAATGTTAAAATAAAATAAAACTATTTTGGAAGTGTTTACCGCTTCTGATAATAGACGTTCAGACTAGCTTGTCTGATTTAGATCTTGTAGGTGGTGGAGAAAAAACATTAAACGACATTGTCATTTCAAACAGCCTAAATACTATAAAAAATATAATGTAATTATATACCGATCTGTGTAATTGTTTTTTTGCATTGCTTTTTAAAGATTGCCACATTTGAATATTAATAAAAACTTCTTTTTTTCTATTTGTAGCCTGATTATAATCTTCAAGAAAACTTTTAAAGTCACTCTCATTGATAATTTGAGTTCCTGACCCAGTTTCTTTTGTCACTTTATATGATAATATATAATCATTTTGAGTAATAGTAGTATCATTTAATTGATATTGAATATGTGAAAGAATTTGATAATGGAATTCGCTACAAGAATCTGCTAAAATGTTTAATCGTTTGGCAGGTAATGTAGTATTATCTTGATTTTTAATACATAGTTTAAGCAAAAATTCTTTACTTTCATACTTATTAT